ATTCTCCTTGATCTGCAGTTGGCCGGAAGAAGTGCTTTTCCATGAGCCTGTGGATCAGATGTTGATATCGAGGCAGCTATCTAAACGACATTGTAAAAATAATTTACAATGTCGTTTAACCCCGTAAACCCGAAAGCACTCTAAATTCCAAAGATTTGAATCCGGAACCCTGCCCTTGAAACCGCAAACTCTGCAAACACAGCCCAGGCACCCTCAAAGACTCGGATGCGAGCTACTCGTCCTGCAGCTGCACCTGCATCCCGGTGCCGTCACGTAATTGTTTCGTGGTTGTGGTCGAGAGAATCGGGTTGAGGGTGCCCGAACGTTTGTGACGGTGCCCGGCTGAGCATGTCAGGGCTGAGAGTGGCTTGAAGCATCACCGGTCCTAATGCAAACCCTTGCTAGTAGGATTCTTATGGAAGACACCAAAACCGCCAGAGATCCCCACCACATGACATAAGTACTGCTCACCCCCAGCTCTATACCCCAGACATCTTGTTGGGGCTTCTCTGAGATTCTTCTAGCCGTTTCGACAGCGCGAGCAGCTTAGCAAGTTTGAAAGTTTGGGCATACTTCGAGTGCCCTGGTGATGTGCACAAACACTAGGTTTCCTGTCACACAAATCGTGGATTACTGTCCAGGTTTCTCCAAATGTGGATACTTACGGAACCTTTTCAAGTCTGGAATGTAGGGACTGTAAGGTTCAGAATAGGAGTTGGTGAGTTGGTGGTGAACCGCATCCGTTATGGTAGTTTTTGAAGGATAATTAAGGAATCTAGAGTAGTGGTGGGGGTTTCCGAAAATTTGGAAACTTAATCTAGCACCCCAAACAGTAGGATCCTTCTTAAAAGGGCCCCAACATAAGGTACCCCCCGCGCGAGTTTTCGGAAACGCCCTGGTGGCTCAGAGCCCCGCGATCGACTGGAGCTCCGGGCCTGCGCTGAGCAGCAATGCTAGCCAGAGGCCTGCCAGGCTGCCGCCGGCAATCACCACCTCAGTGGCTCTGGGACTTAGGGGTTTAGGGGTTCGCACTCGCGCAGGTTTAGGGTTTAGGGTATAGGGGGGCAAAGCTTTTAGATCTATGTGCGGTTTGGGTTTCTTTACAGGGGAAGCAACCTGGAGGCGCTTGCTTGAATTTATTTTGGGGCTTAGGGTCATGGTTTGGATGCTCGATTTCGGTTTGCTTGAGGATTTGTTGGTTCAAGTTCAGGTTTTAGCGCCGCAGAGTGCAGTACGCACTTGCTGGGCCATTCACGGATGGCTCAGTTGCAGACAGGAGCGTGTGAAGACCCTGAGCAAGGCGGGAGTTTCCGAAAATAGGGGCCCCTAATATAGTACCCCAACAAGTAAGATCCTTATTCTAAGGACCCCCCAAAATAAGGTACCCCGATTTTTCGGAAACTCCCAGGTGTCTCTAGACACCAAGCGCCCTCTACTTCCCGAAACCCTCAAGTTCCATAAACCGTTGTAAGGATGACATACGCCAAGTCGCATCTGCGCCGGATGGTCCGGGTTTTCCAGGGGCTGGAGGAGCCGTGAGAGCACTGGTACCTCAGAATCTTCAGGGCTATAAGCCTAAGGAAGCTTAAAGGTCCACGTGCCAAATCATATCTAACATAGTACTCATTACTCCCCTACAAACAGCCTGCAGCTAGTCCTGGCATCTGCCCAAATACCATGTTAGTTTGTACTTCGTAGGTCCTGGGGAAAACGTGAGAGTCAATTCGATCAGTTAGTGTGGGCGAGTAGAATCGGGGCCTGAACATTTAGACTACTGTTTGAGGGGCTTTGTCTTGAACATGCACCAGGAAGCTAGCGGATACGAGAACAGGGAACCAGGGAACGCTGTGCAGGACTAGCAAGCAATATTTTGGCCCTCAAGGGCCTTGCGGCTTGGGCCACTCGGGGAGCTGCACGGCAATCTGCGAGGAAATTTTGCACGACCCTCCTCAACATCAATTAGATCCTCCGACAGGGGAATACATCAAGTGTCACCACGGCCTACCTAGTCAGCCGTTCGCTGTGAGTCGGGGGGGTTAACGATCTTTTGCTTCTGCAAATCGTCCTCAGCTCGGCAGTGAGGATTGCAGGTATCGTGCCAGAGTGATCACAAGTTCTCCCCTCCCCTGTTCTCTTTGAGTCGTAAACCCTGAAACCCTGAATCCTTCAAGTCCCCTACAAACCCCAAAAGGACCTGACAGCCCACATTCGAGTGCGAGATGCGACTGACCTCTTTCGTCGGTGAGACGTCGATGATCGTCTCCTCAGGGTCTCGCGCATCTCTGAACAGAACTCGGGATGACGGCGGACGTTTGAGTGGCTTGGCAAACAACGCTGACACCCTCGTTTTCGGATCAGGTGCTGGCTAGGATATCATCAGCATGCTTGTAGCGGCCTTGGCAGGCGGGGTCGCCACGCCGAAGCCGCGAGGTCTTGCGAAGGCCACTGCAGCACCTCGAAGGTCATACGGACCGAGGAGTTTAGAGTGGAATGCAGAACGAAACCCAGAAGCCTGACAAAACTACTTCGTTTCTTCCTGGCCGGGTGCAAGAAAGACTCTATGAGCGCCACATTCAAGTCCTGTTCAGGCAGTATGCCTGAAATCCTACTCATGCGTGCGGGCCGACGGGCGAGAGGGAGGTGACATTGGAAAGGCTTTCATGATCGCGTAGGTCCAAATTCTGACGCGCGTTCAGAATTTTGCACCGGGTTGGCTTGGAAGGCAAGTCACGCAGTTGAAAATTCTGAACGGGGCCTCCAACCAGCGCCAACAGCAGCAAAGAGCGCCAGTTGCAGCTGGATATGCGGCCTCGCCATGAGCCACTACCTCGGCAGGAAAGCATAGTCGCATTCCACACGCAGTAGCTCTGCCCCAAGCCCCAGAAATTCGGGGGCAATGGGAGCATCGAAAATCGAGGCAGGGAAGCCTTAGCAGGCCCTCCTCTTCCTTAAGTGTACGTCGATCTGAGCTACCCGGTCATAACAGTCATAACATCTCGTATACATGGATCACTACATGAAAGCCATGCGAGAAAACCTAGAGGCTGCAACAAAAAAAGTAGCAATCGTTGCAAGTAAGACTATACAACCCAGCAACAAAACTCAATGACTGTACTGACTGTGACTGCTCTTGCTCGTTTTCGTGTTTCAGCTGCTGTTTCTCGGATGGCTCAGGTCACCTCATTTCGGGTTGTTCAACGACAGAAGCAGCAGCTAGCGCCTGTACACCACGCGAGTCAACCGAGTCCCGGACATGCACGAACACTACCACAACATGCTAATGTCTCACCCGCACTCTGAAGGTTCTAGCTTGCGAACCGGCCAACACTGTCTGCGGCGATGTCACTTCTGCGGCTAAAACCCGCCATCAGCGTGCGAGTACCGGCAGGGAAAGCTACGGCTGGGGGCCGGCGTGGTTGGTAGTATTTTCTGCTTCATAAGCCTCTGAGCTTTTTGTTTTGAGTTGGTCGAATTTTCTGCATCCTGGTCATCTGATATGCTACATCATGACTGGACTGGAGCTTATCACATTGATGTTGCCTGGACTTCACTATACCGGGTCGGCCAGGTCCATCTGGAAGGCCACTATTGGCTCAACAAGACTAGTGTAGGAACCTGACTAAGAAACCCTGGGCCTCTAACCCCAAAATAGCAGGATTCATATGAGGACCCCTAATTACTAATTAAGGTCCCAAGGTTTCTTAGTCAGGCTCCTACATTATACTCATCTGAACGTGTGTGTATCTGGCTGCCCAGCAATTATCTGCTTTGTTGGTTGGGTCATGATCCGACATGCTGGCTGCGAGCCTGCAGTGCCATGTTGAAGCCAACGAGATCGACACCTAAAGCCACAAAAACTATGCGCCCAAGAAAGCCCTATGGCCTATGACTCGATGGCCCTGGGTCCCATAGCGAAGAATGCAAATCACCAACTGAAGCGTCAATCTTCAGCCACTACGGGCACATACCGCTAAAGTCCAACCTCACATTTCAACTCCGGAAAAATCCGCAGCCGACATCTGGGAATCTCAGAAGGCATGAAGTTTGGGGCTGATGGGTCTCGGTGCTTGGAGGCTCTGGTGATTTCTGTATGCTTCCAGGTACCTGGGCTGGGGGGCGAAGTGTTAAGAAGGCTTCCTTCTTCCAACGGTTTCCCGCTGAGAGATTGCGCTGGGCAGTAGAACGGCACAATTCTGGACACTCTCAAACTACGCATGCGTAAGTAAGTAAGTAGTCCGATTGGGAGGTTCAAGGCTGACGACATAAGCCAAAGCCTAAGCCCAAGTCTGTAAATCGTAAAACCTTCAAGGGCTCAGGGCTCAGATTAGAGTCAGCGACTGGCCCTTGCAAGTCCGTCGCATGCGCCCTGGGTCTGCTGGTCAGATCTGATCTATTACAGTGGACGCCTCAATCCTGTGTTCTAGCCGGTAAGCCAACAAGAACATGTGACGTTAACAAGCGAACATAATCCCACACCCTGAAAAAGGAAAACAAGAAGCAGCAAAAGGCTCAACCAAAGGAGCCGAGCCCCAAAACCCTAAAACAAAACAATGAAGAGTAAAGAGTCCAGCCGAAGTCTACTCAAATCTGGGAAGCGAAGCTTGCTCCTTGCTTGATGTGGGAGACAACATTGGGGCCGGCACCATACCGCAGATACACTGGAAGAACCTGCATCGAACATCCAGGTCAGGTCCATCGTAGTGCAGAGGCCTTCATGAGTAGACTTGAGCAACCAATGCAGGGCCGTAATAATTAGAATAGGGCTTTGGGGCCAAGTATACTCTAATTCTAACAAGGACCCCCCCCCGCCCCGGGCAATCGTATAGGTATCTGTTTAGGCCCCCTGTAGTACCGACCGAGCATCTAGAATGTGCGACACCACGAGACTTCGCCAAGGCATAACTTAAGAGCAGCGGGCTCCGAAGGTCTATTCCCTTGTGCGACCCAGGCACACCACGCCCATGCTGAAGACGTCACCGCGTGGGTACCAAATCCCGTGCCTACAGGGACGGCATCAGTGGCCAAACATCACAAAGATTCACAATCCTGGCCGGCAAATTGGGCAGCCTGTGTCTGTTCTGCCCAGCCGCGAGACAGCTGTATGAGTGGGACACATGATTACACCGCTGGACCCCTCAACACCAAAGTCCTAACCCATCAAAAGCCCAAAGCCTAAACTCCCAAGGCCTGTTCCCTAAGCCGCCGTTCACGGGCCTCCAGGTCTCTGGGGGGATGTACCCGGGTGTGCCGCAAACGCCCTGGCGATTGCTCGTGAACCTGAGCTCCCAACCCAAGAAAGACACGGTTAGAGGGTGTTTTAGAGGGATTTTGGGTTTGGGTCTATCGAGTTTTGGGTTTAGAAGTTAGAGCTTTGCCGTCTAAGGTGGCCAAAGTTACTTCGTGTGTGGCCATCAGGAATACTACCACTCAGTTACTTAACCACTTAAGTTACATCCAGGAGCCTGCAATTGGCTGGATCTTTCCTGGAAGCGGCCAAGCCCCTAGTATTGCAAACCCAACTTGAGGAAGTAGCACGCCTTGGCTTTGGGGCAGACGGAGACGGTCTAAGGTTTGCAGCTCAAAATGGGAGTTTCCGAAAATGGGGACCCTGATATAGTATCCTTACATAATAGTAGGATCCTTATTATAACGACCCCCAAATCAGGTACCCCTCATTTTCCGAAACTCACAAATCGGACCGACGTCCCAGATTCCTGGGAGTCAGGCCCGGCGTTCGAGCAAGGAGGGGCCTATGATATCATTTGGGTAATGGTTAACATTATGATCCGTTTTTGGGTACCCTAAATATTAGGTGCCGTACTACATTAGGGACCCAAAGAAGGGACCCTGATATTGACAACCACCCATTTGGCCTAAGAAGGGCCCCGTAAACCACTGCTATATCTTGTGGCAGTGCCTACTCATACTTTCAACCCTGCAGTATCCCCTCAACCCCGAACTCCATACCCTGAGCGCAAATCCCCAAATATATTTAATCCCCGAAATCCTGAACTCTAAACCTATCTTTTTTAATTCTGGGCCCCTGGCGCCGAAGCGAGCCCAAAGTCGATGAGAACCACCTGGGGCGCCTGGCTCTGGGAAAGCTGCGATTTGTTTCAGCTCTGCTATCATCCTTCCTTGGGTTAATAGGGAATGGAGGAATGGGGTGCAATTGTACCTACTATGACTAATTACCATTCTTCCATTCCCTATTAGTGTGCAGTAGTGTTAGCAAGGAGGGTTGAGGGCTTGGCGCGCCGTGCTCACGTGTCTCGGATGTTTCTCCTTGCTTGCATTAGCATCAGAGACCTTCTGTCAACTACTACGCTTGGGGGCATGCTGCAAGAGGATAATGTAGGAAGAAACAGAAGCCTACTGTAGTTGTAGTGAGGTCCATAAAAGGGGTTTTGTTGTTGTATGTTCCGTCCCACGTAGCATGACAGAGGATGCTTGCAAAGTGCAATGCACAGAGTTTCAGCGTCTCTGTGTCTGCTTGAGCGCTCTCGTCTTGGATTGTAGAATCTAGTCTGTGTGACCTTCGCCTGTGGTCGCGTATGTATTTATGCATGTATGTATACATATATATATATATATGTATAGAGAGAGAGAGAGAGAGAGAGAGAGAGAGAGAGAGAGAGAGAGAGAGAGACAGACAGAGAGAGAGAGAGAGACAGAGAGAGAGAGCGAGAGACAGAGAGAGAGAGAGAGAGAGAGAGACAGAGAGCGAGAGAGGGGGATAGATAGTTGAACCTGGAACACAACTCGCCTAAGTTTGTGAAACCTTGCACTGTCAACGGCCCTGTTATAGGCACCTCGTAGGACTCGCTCTTCGAAATCATGATGTTGGGCTCCTCCACTCTGACGAGTTGGACCATATCTTGAACATGCCTTTGTAGTTCAGGGTAGGGTAAGGTTTGGTTTTAGGGACGAAACACCCCGATCTTTGCTTCATGATTTTTTCTTAGGGCTCATCCTACTTTGCCCCAAATCGCTCCAAATCAGCTTTGCAGACCAGACATGGTAGCAGATTCATCCGGTATATCCTTGATGTCACAGTGCATGACGCCGTTTCCGTGGAGATAACACAGCCTCTGCCGATGTCAGTCGTGGAGGTGCATTTGTGCAAATGTGGGTGTTGCACAAATCCCAAGTTCTTTCAACTTGTCGCATGGATAGAGCAAAAGTTAGTCAGAACAAAGATAAAGATGTGGCGGTTTACATGCCAGTCTGCTCTAGCACGGAGAGCTGCGTGCTTTCTGTCTGGGTGGGGCGCGAGGATACATCCTGCCTCACCGAGCACGCCCAAAAGTAAATCTACTTCCATCGCTAGTCCAGCGAGCTTGATCCAGCCAGTTACTGGTGCAATACACCCCAGCAAACACCATCGCTTCAGTCATGGAACTAGTTGGCAGTGGACGCCTGACAGAGCGGCTGCCCTGCTCTCTGCCACTCCGGACCTACTATCAGCAGTTTTGCCAAAGTCTGAAACAAGACTCTGCTCACAGAAGTCGGAATGGCCAGGGTTCCGGACCCATCCATGCACTGTCGGAATATTTGGCGCCACCAGTTCTCACCCATCCTCGCAGCGCTGCGGAGCGGCCATCAACATACTTGTTCAACCCTCTTCGTCCTTTTTGCCACTGGACTGAAGTCTAGCCAGTTTAAGACAGTATATACCCTCAAGCTCGATACTCTAGCGGAGCCGTTGATCCCACCCATAGAGCTCTTGGGGTCCGGATCATGCTTCTCCCGTTTGAGCAACGAGCTGCACCAGGCACGCCTCGCTTCCTTCCGACGCTCCAATCCCTTTGGCCTTTTTTTGCCTCTAGACTTGTGCAATCGCCCTTTTGCCTCAATAAGCGTTAAGCCTTTAACCTAAATCCTCCATGCACCCCTCTCCCCCCGAGTCTCACTGGTGGGCCTCACGCCCTGCTGCGAGGCATTCTTCCCGAGCTTCGTGAGATCTCCGCCGAAATAGGGCTCGTTCACCTGCTGCGAGGTGAAGCAGAATGATAGTCTTTCATGGGCCTTATGCCTTGAACGTCATCATCTGATAATGGCTTTGAAATGTTTTACAAAGAGCTTCACGGTGGGCGTGCAAGGTGTGAACAAACCTGAACCAACACACATGCTGTTCTCCGTCATTAGGGTTCCTTGCTAGCAAAAAAACTCTACTATAGCACACACCAAAACCCCGTTCTAATCACTCAGGCCCCTATATGTACTGTCTGAAGGGGTCCTTGCCAAAAGGATCCTAAGATCCACCTTTTCTTGTTGTTTGTTGCCGGGCTCCGGGGCTGGGAGACTACGGGCTTCGGGGTCCCCTCTCTCTCTCTCTCTGTGCATTTACTTGGGAGTTTCCGAAAATAGGGGACCCTAATATAATACCCAAATAGTAGGCTCCTTCTTATAAGGACCCCAAAATATGCTACCCCTAGTTTTCCACTTGTCGCGGTGTTATGCGGGGAACTGTGAGCTGCGGATACGCGTGCCGTTGGAATGCGCAAACTGAGGCCGACCTGGGTCTTTTCGCAAAACTATATAGGAATATAGGGGTGCCTCCTTAGGGAGAGTTCTTGTATTGAGGAGACCGGGCTGTTCACCGTCTAAGTGGAAGTCCTTTGTAGAAAGAAACTGCCAGCCTGGCTTCTTGTGGCTCCCCGGTTTGGGGTTTCGGGCTGTAACCCTTTGAAGTGAACTCTTGTAGCTTCCTCCCCGACAGCCAGGTTGGGCATGAGCCTGTCTTCACATACACAGTGCAGAACTGTGGTACAAGCTTGCTAGTGTCGAACCAAGGTCATCACCCCTCCGATCGTGTGCCTAAGTGACTACTCTGTCCCAGCTCCAGGTTACATCTTCCAAATCAGGATTCCCGTCTGTCATATTTTGGATGGCGTGGCACAGCCGAGGGCACACTGGCAATATCGGCACAGCGAGGGCTTCGCGTTTATTACGTCCTCATGCACTCAATTCCGCGGGAACGTGCATTTCCATCGCACCATGTGCTGCTGACTTGGCCCTCTGCCCTGAAACTGACCCCCTATCCGTTCGAAAATGTTCGAAAGGAGCCAGCTACTTCGTTGTTCAACACATGCCCGGCATGGCGAGGTAGTAGAAGGACTTGTCTTGAAACACCTTGCAGTGCCAGGGGAAACTTGTGTTTTCCACGAATACTGCATGCAAAAGCAGGACACGCTCTTGGAAGCCTTGCAGCTTACCTACGGGGAACGCTGGTGGAAGAATTATGAAGGATGCCTTCCGGATGCACAAACATATTCAGAAGAACCGGCATCGAGCATGTTTTCTCACAGGTGCCAGGTCTTCTCAACCCATCGTAACCGTAAGAAGCTGAAGCTCAAGGGATGTGAATACGAAGTGCTGGGCTTTAACGTTGTGAGCTCCTGTCGACACATCTACAGCCTAAGTACCCTAGAAGCCGCACAGCTGCTACGGCTGAGAGCCCACTACCCCCTGCAGTAAGGAGAGTGCCTTTTCGGCACAACGAACAACCTTACATAATTGATTGAACATTCCTGAATCAAAGCGTAAATTGAGCTTCCATCCCGAATTAATCACTTATTCGATACCCTAACACCCTGAACTCGAAAGCCCAAACAAACCCAAAAGCCTTGACAGCAACCCCTCCTCAACCCATGAATCCCGAAAGTAAGCAGTCGATCCCAATCGGAAAAGCAATATCGTGAAACGGAATATGACAAGATTGGGGTGCATTCCTCAGTTCGGGGCTGAGCCAGTGCATACACTTGAATATCACAATCAAAAATCTATACGGTTTCCCATTTCGGGATACATTCGGGGCTCGAGCATCACTCTACGAGCCCGCTTGTAACGACCAACAAGTAGAAGACCAAAGGGTAAAGCGGTCAAAAAAACAAAAATAGTCCTCGACTGAAATACGATAAAAATACCAACGTAGTACATTCCTTGCTTGAAAGGCAAATTTGGCTGCGCCGACCTCGTAGGTCTTGGCGATGTGCGGATTGTCCAGCGAAGCCATGAGAACGTACTCGTCCATGAGCTCCTGGGGCTTTAATCTAGTGTCCTTAAAGATAAGAATAGGATTTTGGGGTCCACTATACTATACTTACAAATAAGGAACCCCCGTATATTATACGAGGGTTCTACGATTCGGAGCTCCTGGGGCTTTAGGCTGCTTTTGGATGGCTTTTTTGGGGGCTCTGAACAGCTTCGGGTATCCGTTGTTTCATCGACGGGGCTATGGAAATGCTGGGAAACCTATCGGAAGTACTCTCAGAACCGGGAAGAAGCCGAGTCGCATCCAAACCGCCGGCATTGGCATCAGCTTTCCTTGCAATCGCACACGGGCCTCTGAATGCTTGCTCGAAGGAGGTGAGGGAATCTATGCGTCTATATGTGTGCAGTCATACATGTGGCATATCTACATCAACATATATGTCTACGTGCATACCTGCGGCATGTATTCATGGCTTGAAGCGGACTCTGAGAAGACCCAGTGGCTCATAGAACTTGATGCAGTACTTCGACCTCAGATGCAGGTTCGGATCATCTGCACAACGAGAGTAGCAGCTGGTGCAATTGCGACTGATCGTCTTGCTGGTAAGAAAGTGTTTGCAGTAATGGCGGTTGTCGAAGAGAAAACATGTACCACTAGCAAGTACTCCAATGTAATCCGTATTGTGATCGGAGCTTGACGCTGTTTCGGACTTGAATCATTTTGTTTGATACCTCTGTTTGTCTTGTTTCGATCAGAACGCGATGTGTTTTGAACTGAAAGGAGTCATACTCACTCGAATATGTTGCCACGAGAGCTTTCTTCCCTACATCCAGCCGACGACTGCAGCTGGGCTGAGGCCGCAGCTATAACATTTTGCATGCCTGGCTCCCGCCCAGAAATCCCCGAACTCCAAGCCAGAACTGAGAGTCGCATCTCACTTGTCCGCAGTCGGAAAAAAGGGGGTTGGTGTAAGCTTGTGCTGTGTTGCTCAGATGCTTCGCTGCAGGCTTCGGTCAGGATGCATCACTCTTCGATTCTCGCCATGCTCAATGGGGACAGGGGAAGATCACTCCCTGCCGAGAAGCCTGCGAAACCAAGACCACTTGGTACAAAGATACATCGTGCCTCGCAGTGCAGACTGGAACCCTGCTGACAGGAACAGATACACTAACAAGTTAAGGCTTAAGGCTTGCGGGGTTCAGGCTTCAGCAAAAGCAAGAGCCCCTAGGTTTCGGAAACCTTCGAGACTTCGTGCAATTGCAGTTGCAGTGAGCAGCCCCCCCCTAGGCAGTCGCGCCTTGACCTCCGCGACCCAGCTCCTGACAGGAATGTCAAGCAGTCTGGAAGCACGGTTGGCTCTGTCCTTGCGGAGTTCAGGAATCCGTGAATCTTTCAGACAGGGGCCGGGGGATCTGACACCCTCTTTTGGGTAAATGCCAGGCTCCAGCTGGGTCTCTCCTTCACGACGGTGAAGCCCTGTCCCTTGACGGAGGACAAGGGGACCTTCACCTGCCGGCGTCCGCCAAGTTCCTTGGTCACAGGCGGGTCACGAATTTCCTGTTGTTTCCGAAGCCATGATGTCTCAAGAGTCTCAACACCACTTCGACGTAAATCTCAGGAAGATGCTGCCAGGACATTGCTTCGGAGGTCTATCCTTGATCGTGATAGCATTATCGTGAACAGTCTTGTTGTGCGTTGAATGGCCTTTCCTCTGGAGCTAGATTCTTCAGGCGGGGTATTCTCGGCTGTCTGTGGTTCTGGTCTCCGATGCAGCTTAGAGAGGCACCTGCACCCGAAAACCGCATGTTCATCATTCCATATTAGGACTTGCTTTTGTTTGTCCTGAATAATCATAGGCTTCTTGTGCTTTTGGTGGGGTTCAAGGGTGCAACACACTAGCAGCAAGCAGCAGCCAAGCTGTTCGGTTTGAAGCCCGCAGGGCTCAGGCTCTTGGTATCAAGAGCTCTTGCAAAACGACTGGCCCCTGGCCTACCCGTTTTCCCCACGTCGCGCACGCGGGGGCAGTTGTGTGAAGCGATGTGAGAGGGGACCATCCAAGCCTTTCAAGACTTTCACAAGCAGGGCGCTCTGCCGACTCACCCATATAACATCCCTGTACACGCTTCAAACCATGAAGTCTAAGGGCTCACGTGGTCCTTGAAGGCTTAGTGAGGGCACCTGTCAAGACGGAAGCCTGCCTCTGGGAGCGAGCTTTCGTGCATGGCCGCTGCCAGGAGTACTGTACATGCTAGGACACGTCGTGATCCCAAGCCTTTCTGGGTTCACGTGGTTCGTAAGGTGTATTCATGTGTATTCTACATGCGTCCTTCTTGGGTATGCGATAGAGATTATTATAAGGGCACTTGCCCGCGGCTTTCGGTATCCATTGGCTGCAGCCCCTTGACAATCGAGCTGAAACATTCTGCTGACTCATGTATGTCATGGATGTCTGACGAAATCAGAAAATCCAGCCTTGTTTCGAACTCATCACTGATTGTTCCACTTTCTTGAGACTTGGCCTATGAGGCATGCCATCAACGTAATTCTGCAAGCAGGAGCCCCATTTCGGGGCTCATCGGCTAGTTAGCCGCACGTGGAGCAACAGCTGCTCCCAGCGCGTACAACGCGGAAGCTACGCAAAGGAGGCAGCCCACGCCGTGGAAGCTGCCGGCCTCATCTCATGATTCGTGCAAGGGGTTGTCTTCGACATGCCCTCTCCTTACTGATTCGGGTTGCTCATAACTATTGGTACTGTTGCTACTTATTGTAATTGTGGTTGCTGGTCTGATTACTACCCATACTAATATCACTGAGTATTACTATTCTCATCCTAGTATCATCAGGGTTTGTCTATCCCAAAACGCACTCTGCCCCCCATCTCCGGTCTCTGTGCGCCTGCCTGGACGGTCACGGTGAGACCTTGGTGTTGAAAAGCATCTAAAATTATACATAATACTACGATGTACTACAATGCATTCCAATATGCTATAATATACTATAGTATAATCTAAATGAATCTGAGGTCTGAGTGGGCCCTGGAGGCCAGGGCTTGGTCTCGTACTCGGCAAAAAGGAAGGGTTCAGGAACAGCTTCAAATTCAGAAGCCGGTTAAACTCTTCCAGGCAAGTTACAGGCTCTGGTCTCATGCCACAACACTTCTTGAAAGGTTGAGTTGGCGAAGGCGAATCATGACAACGCACAACAATTTCAAACGAAGTTATGAGGGGTCGGTGTGCGTGTGTGTGTGTGTGTGTGCGTGCGCGTGCTAACCTCTGAATTAGCCATGAATTGAAATTTTCGGTTTGCGGCTTGAAGCTTTGCCTTTGGGCCGTGAGGAACATCTGGGCTCAGCCGGGTTCTGGTGGTCTGGTATCGCAGGCCCTCTCGTGCGCTGCTGTAGCCACGACACCAACGGCTGATGGCACAATACCTGGGCAGCAGCAAACTGTGGCTTAATGAGGTTAGTGGAAGGACCTGAATAAGTAGCATATGGGTGTTTTTAGGATTGCAGAGTTTGCCCCGTTGCCACAGCATCGAGGCGGGAAGAAGCTCAAAAGCTTAAATACATGCGAGCCCTATACCTGCCAGCTTACCCATGGCTTTACTTACAGCCAAACTGAATCTTGAACAGCAGGGTCTAGTAAACGCCCCTCAGGTATGTACATGCATGCGATTGTATATTCATTTGCGTGCGTATGTATATATATATATATATATATATATATATATATATCCGCCGACCCCTGCGGGCGGCGCCCGTGATATCCCGAGAGGTGTCCGCACCCACACCGCTTCCACCGCCTCCACCGCTCTGTTCAGAGAGTCTTTCTCCGCTGTAGTTGTAGGTGTTTAAAGAGTATGTAAAGGCTGCCAATGTGTGCCCGGACCTCTCCGCGCCCCCACTGCCCCCACCGTCCTCACCGCCCTCACAACCTCCACCACCGCCCTGTTTAAAGAGTCCTTCACCGCTGTATTTGTAGGTGTCAAAAAAAAAAGAGTATTTAAAGGCTGCCAATGTGTGCCCAGACCCCTCCGCGCCCACACCGCCCCTACCGCCACCGCCGCCCTTACTTTTACAAAGTATTTAAAGGCTGCCAATGTGTGCCCGGACCCCCCCACGCCCGCACCGCCCACACCGCCCCCACCGCCCACACCGCCCTCACCGCCCTCACCACCCCCACCACCTTCATCCCCCTCCACCGCTTTCACCGTTCCCACCGTCTCCACCGCTCTCACCGCCCGCTGTATATGTAGGTGTTTAAAGAGTAAAGAGTATTTAAAGGCTGCCAATGTGTGCCCGGACCCCCCCGCACCCACACCGCCCACACCGCCCACACCGCCCACACCACCACACCGCCCCCACCGCCCACACCGCCCTCACCGCCCTCACCACCCCCACCACCTTCATCCCCCTCCACCGCTTTCACCGTTCCCACCGTCTCCACCGCTCTCACCGCCCGCTGTATTTGTAGGTGTTTAAAGAGTAAAGAGTATTTAAAGCCTGCCGATGTGTGCCCGGACCACCCCGCACCCCCACCGCCCACACCGCCCACACCGCCCACACCGCCCCCACCGCCCACACCGCCCTCACCGCCCTCACCACCCCCACCACCTTCATCCCCCTCCACCGCTTTCACCGTTCCCACCGTCTCCACCGCTCTCACCGCCCGCTGTACTTGTAGGTGTTTAAAGAGTAAAGAGTATTTAAAGGCTGCCAATGTGTGCCCGGACCCCCCCGCGCCCACACCGCCCACACCGCCCACACCGTCCCCACCGCCCACACCGCCCCCACCGCCCACACCGCCTTCACCGCCCTCACCACCCCCACCACCTTCATCCCCCTCCACCGCTTTCACCGTTCCCACCGTCTCCACAGCTCTCACTGCCCGCTGTATTTGTAGGTGTTTAAAGAGTAAAGAGTATTTAAAGGCTGCCAATGTGTGCCCGGACCCCCCCGCGCCCCCACCGCCCACACCGCCCCCACCGCCCACACCGCCCTCACCGCCCTCACCACCCCCACCACCTTCATCCCCCTCCACCGCTTTCACCGTTCCCACCGCTCTCACCGCCCGCTGTACTTGTAGGTGTTTAAAGAGTAAAGAGTATTTAAAGGCTGCCAATGTGTGCCCGGACCCCCCCGCGCCCACACCGCCCACACCGCCCACACCGTCCCCACCGCCCACACCGCCCCCACCGCCCACACCGCCTTCACCGCCCTCACCACCCCCACCACCTTCATCCCCCTCCACCGCTTTCACCGTTCCCACCGTCTCCACAGCTCTCACTGCCCGCTGTATTTGTAGGTGTTTAAAGAGTAAAGAGTATTTAAAGGCTGCCAATGTGTGCCCGGACCCCCCCGCGCCCCCACCGCCCACACCGCCCCCACCGCCCACACCGCCCTCACCGCCGTCACCACCCCCACCACCTTCATCCCCCTCCACCGCTTTCACCGTTCCCACCGTCTCCACCGCTCTCACCGCCCGCTGTATATGTATGTAGGTGTTTAGAGAGTAAAGAGTATTTAAAGGCTGCCAATGTGTGCCCGGACCCCCCCGCGCCCACACCGCCCACACCGCCCACACCACCACACCGCCCCCACCGCCCACACCGCCCTCACCGCCCTCACCACCCCCACCACCTTCATCCCCCTCCACCGCTTTCACCGTTCCCACCGTCTCCACCGCTCTCACCGCCCGCTGTACTTGTAGGTGTTTAAAGAGTAAAGAGTATTTAAAGGCTGCCAATGTGTGCCCGGACCCCCCCGCGCCTACACCGCCCACACCGCCCACACCGTCCCCACCGCCCACACCGCCCCCACCGCCCACACCGCCCTCACCACCCCCACCACCTTCATCCCCCTCCACCGCTTTCACCGTTCCCACCGTCTCCACCGCTCTCACCGCCCGCTGTACTTGTAGTGTAACTGTACATAGTCTGCGGGCTGGCTGTTGTGCTGTATGCTTTTATGCATGCTCTTCTGTAATTCGTATTCATAACACTTTTGGCTCAAGTGAGCACGGCAGTGTGTCGTTGGTAGCTTCTCGTTGCCGCGACGCAATTGCGCGCAGCCCGTCCTGGGCGGACGTTCGACCTGTCACTGTCGTTGGACTTTCTGCTTGG